GGATACGAATGTACTCGATGGCGTTGACTTCTGGTGAGGCGAACTCGCACCATACCCCGCGCTGTTCAAAATCGCACATGATGGCGTCTCTATTTTCAGACAGCACGACGTTGTCCAAGCGAAGGTCTGGGTAGAAGGTGCCAGAGGTTTCCCGATAGTGTACAACACCGGAGGTGATCTGTATGGCCCACTTGAACTGCTCCGCCGGTGTCAATGTGTTGCTTGCCTGCAAAAATGGCACGATGTCCCTCATCGTCCCATGTCGGTGGAACTCTAGCGTAAATCCAAGGACCGCCACCTTACTTCCGAAGGTGCACTGCTTCGTAACAAGATGAACTGGCCGTGACATGATGCTCGGGTGTGGCTTTGCTGACAAGAGTAGTTTCATCTCATGATACAGGTATTTGGTGTAACTGGTTAAGGTCTTGAAGATCCACTCGGTGCCCCGGATTCGAACGAGACATACGCTGTCGTGAATCTGCTCGACCACGTGTACTTCGGATATGTCAACGCACTCGGGCATCTCGACTGAAGGACCCCACATTTCAGAAAGAGCGGCTGATGAAAGTAGCTGGCGTTCTAGATAGTAGGTACGTGCGACTTCGATCTGAATGGCCCTGATATCGAGCGATAGATCCTTGAACACGATCCGAGACCCAAAGGGTACCGAGGTAAAGAGTGACTCGGGTTCGACGAGGCTCTTGGTCCAATACTGCAAAGCGCGGAGGATGTGCTTGGCAACGTTGAGCTGTTGTACCCGCGTCCGGTCTCTTGTATGGAAAGCCACGTCAAGGTCCAGCAGTTGGCGAACCTCTTGTGACTGGGTCGACTGTTCCGGGATGAAGGCATCGATGCGCATCGGTGTGATGGACTTCAGGAACAACGGCAGGACGTAAAACTGAGTCCCGAGGCCCGTACAACCGTCAATCCGCCAGAGAGGGTCGGGGAGGGGATCGAGACTGTCAATTCGGTTCTTCGGATTGAGCTGGGACGCATCCCAGTCCGCCGATAGCGGTTGCCTTGAATCGGCATTGTCATTATGGCTAATTTCGCGTCTCGAGGCGTCAGTGAAGGCGGCCGTGGGATGAATAATGTCGTGTATTATGTCCGACGCCAACTCCATCTTGTGGCGACGACGACGTCAAGTTTCAGAGGCCCAGTGAGACCAGGTCGTCCAATAGCGCAAAGGTTGTATAGTGAAGATGTTTCACGGCATCGAACCACGTTGCTTGTGGCAGTCAACGTCAGAGTTAGCGACAGACAGGTGGCGCGTGGGGGAAGGACGGGTGATCAAGTGACGGATCGCCGAAGGCTGGGTTGTTGGTCGCGTCGAGCGATGCTGTGAGACGTTGGAGGACGAAAGAGAGCGGGGGGACGCTGAAGGTCTCCTCCTGGCTGGCCTTATCCGCGATGGGCGACCAACGGGAACTATGGAAGACGATGGCGGGGCGACCGGGGAGAGGCGCGGAGGTTACGGGTTCGGCTGGGCGTGATCGTGGACGTGGGTATTTTGCATGATTATGCTGGGATCCGATTTGTGTGTTTGTGTGCTGGCCCTGCAGGTAGCTGCAGACAGACGTCGACCGGCCTCTGGGAGGGCGTGAGCTGATTGGTTGGGGCCGAGAGGGCTGACTGCGGGAGCAAGGAAAATGATGTTGGTTCGACCGGAGAGGGAAGTGGACTTGGCTGCCCATGTGCTGGTGCCAGGGTCCAGTTCAGTCGCGAGTCGCGAGATGTTGGATCCAAAGTGGCTGGGGAGGGGGGGAGGTTTCGAAGCCCGAATTTTTGCAGACGTTACCTTAAGGTATTTTAACTTACACACCGAGGCAGTCGGACAAGCGCGGATCAAAAACGGGGTGGTCCTGCAACGGCAGTGCCGTCCACTCAGAGAACCAAGTGGCGACTTCCATTGCCTGTACTGCGTAAGCCGCATCGTCTTGGCAAGAGCCACGGCTTCCCCAGGTAAGGTGACCGACGTCAGATAAGGTGATATGTGAGGTGAGGCAGCTGCTGGCTGGCTGGCCAGGCAAGTCCTGCCGATGAGATGGCTGCTTGCTGTGTCGTGCGTGCCTTCTAAGTTGTGGAAGGCAGGCACATCACATGTTGGAAGAAGGTGCGATTCTGAGAGTAAGCAGCATGTACCTTGAGGAAGGTAGGTAAATGGGCAGGAGATTGCATACGTTCCTTCCCTACCTACCTTCCCTTCTTACCAAAGGAAGGTAGGCAAGTAGGTAGTAGGAAGGAGGCAGTGGAGGCTAGAAAGCCAAGAATGCAGAAGCAAAACAAACCTGGAAGCTCACGGTCGAGGCCAGCTCAACTGAAACTGCTTTCCTTGCCGATGGCAGTCGGAAGCTGCATGGCTCCTGCCTTGTTAGGTTCGTTATCGGCCTCGTCGTTTCTTTTTCCTCTTCACGGACGCCTCACTCCAACAATCTCCAACGGCCACTTCGCTGCCCCTCAATTCAAAAGGGTCCCGCCATCTCCCAGACCCCGTGTCTCAGACAAAGACCTCGTAGGGCAGTGAGAGCGACCAGCCGTTATGCAGTGTAAAGAACCTCGCCTTAGGCGGATGGTTGCTAGCCCGGCTTGTTTCATTCGGGAAGACGGCTGATTGCAAGCTTGGGTCCAGATCGCGCCTGAGCAGAGGGCACAGCAGGCGGTATGCGGGCAATAGCCGCCATAAGCTCAAGTGGGAATCCCGTTGGCCAGAGACCGAATATATTACTTGAATGTGATAGATGATATAAATGCCATCCTCAGTCGCCGACGGCTGACGGCCGCGTAATCGGACCGCTTGGGACTGGCACAGTGGTACCCCCGGCGACAGATGCAAGCCATGCAAGCAGCACATCAGGCCAGTCGACACGGGAACTTGCCACTAAATAAAGTGCAAGCCGTTGACGTGAGTAACCGGACTTCGGACATGTCGTACCGGTCGTTTCGGTGTCGCGAGAGCTGGATGCCTTACTCGCAGTGACAATCCATCTGGCGGACTGTCCAGAAGCGCATCTCAACAGTCCATGTGTCAGCCAAGGCATCGCAGAAGGAACAAATCGCGGGAGTGCCCGCCTCGAGAAGGAATAAACAAGACCTGGAGAGTGCGGCATGTCTTTTCAAGGATCGTCACAAGAGCTGCCCTGTGCTTCGAGACCGCACCAGGTCCGCATGAGCACGGATACAGAGTACATCCCCCTACATTACATACGTGCCTGGGTACGTTCCATGCTGTAAGGTAAGGTCGGGTACGTTCCATTGCCCTGTGTGGTAAGGTACGGGCGGGCAGACAGACACAGCTTCGTACCTAGGTATGATGGCATCGTCAACTAACAAGATAGGTAGTTAAGGTGCTTGGGCAAGGTATGTCGGTAGGTAGGCAAGAAAAAGGCCAAGTTGCTGGAATATCTGACGATGAGGGGAGGAAACAAATACGCAGCAACAGACGGGACGGACCTTACCTTCCATGCCTCTCCACTCCTCCTTCCCTCAACCACCACCTGCACCTGCCTCACCTGAAGTCAGAAGTACCGTGCTTGCCCGTGGTCTGTCTGCCTCGCCTTGCCTTGCTTTAGGTAATGCGCCTGCTTTGTGCCGTCCCGTCCGTTCTGGGTGCCGGGCAGCATCCAATGGAAGGAGGCTCCTGCCGGCACGGAGGAAGGGGCACATGAATGCCATTGGCAGTTGGATAGGACGGGAAGGAAGGCGGTAGGAGACGTCAGAGACATACTGGCCCAGGCCCTGCCATCACCAAGCTTGTCTCGACCAGGCAAGGTGCCAGGAACGTCCAGCTCGAAGTTGCCATGAAAATGACGCTAGAGACGCCCTTCCGTCTGTCCAAGGGCTGGGAAAGTTCGACTCTGCATCCGGAAGCAGCTGCACTTGAGATGCACCCCACGTGATGCTCGAACGCCAGCTGCACCTTCATCGTGCTTTCCGCCCATTCATCCATCCACCCGTCCATCCGTCCATCCCTCGCCAATCCTCCCAAAAAGAAATTCGACTGCTGGGGTTTGCTTTTGTGCCAACCCAGAGTAGTCCGATCGCAGCCGGATCTACTGCTCCTCGATTGGCCGGTCCAGTCAGTTCCGTCATCTTTCACTTCAGCGTTGCTGCACCATGTCCTTCGCTACCCTACCTCACGGCCGCTTTACCCCAACTTTCGGAGATCCTTGAGATCATGTTCATCCCATCTGGTCCTGGCACTCTCCGGCGCCACCCTTCTCCCGACGTTCTGGCCATACGGCACCTCTCGGTCTCTCGCTTTCCTCTCTCGGTTCTGCGCCATGCTTGCTCATCGTGCCTTGCCGCAACTGTGCAGCACGTCCAGCTGTTGGAGCAAGCGTCGTCCTCAACAAATTCTGGCCGTCCATCCCTTTGATGAGATGCTGTTTCCTCTCTGCAAGTCACCAAACCATCACATCATTCGCTGCTTGTCCTCCATCACCATGCAGGTTCTGTGGGGGGCTTGCGAGACTTTGACCACTGCCGGCAGCACCATCTTTGGGGGTCAAGAAGGGCCGGACGGGGCCGTCCTCTCAGTTCCAAGTATAGAGACGCCCCTGGGATAACTCAAGCAATACTGCGGCCATAATATGGACGTGCCTATGAGTTCATGAAAGGCCGCACAGCCTCTGTCCGCCTACAGATGGAACAAGACGACGACCCTTGCACTTCGTTCCCCTCAACAACTTCCCCGAGGATTGTTTGAGCGGCTGGCCGCCCAGGCCGAGTCCAGACGCCGTGTTCGCCGAGCTGCATTTCGGTAACCAGCCGCCTCCCCTCGCCGGTGTCAATGCCACCGTGCCGCGACCCTGGAGAGAACCGCTTACCCATTATAGCCGCCTTTTCGATGGGTCAAATGGTTGCTTGCCACGACAAGCGCAAATCTTGAGAAATCATCACCGTCTCTCTGCCCACTTTCGAGGAAGTTTCCCGATGAAAACCTGGCCGTCCCTGAGGTTCATTCTCACCGGGTGGATATATCCACTCCTTGCCATGGGCCGATGCTGGTGCCCGAGTCTCCCGCCCGCCCGCTCGGCCACTTTGCCTTCACCGAGTGCAAGGTTGGCCTTGCTCCGGCGGAGGCTAGAGTGACGGAACGTCTTCCGCAGGTGGACCATGCAAGTGCGGCTGCACCTACATTACATATGGAACACTGTAGGTTATTTCGACCTGACCGAATGCCCACAAGTTGTTGACAAACGACACAGATCCGACCTTCATCCAAGGATACCGCCTGTTCAAACAATCCCCACGGGCTTGTAACCCTCAGCTTGCCGACTTCCAGCTGGGGAGGTCTACAAGCCTAACTCGGAAGAGCAGTGCCTCTGCAAGTCCGGTAATGGATTGACGGTGCCGGGCTTTGAACTCTCAGGGTTGAAAACTCTCGTTATCTCTTCGTTGATGGTCTTGGCATACACAGAAGTTGCCAGAAAAAAAAAGTTGATCACTAGCGACACCTCGATCGGATTTGGACCTCCGCGTCCGTCATTCGTCAATTCACATGTTGCCGGCCACTGGGCCAGGGTGTGTGGCAGTGGGCCACCCCCAATCCTACCGTCCCGCTCCTATCAACTCCCGCCAGCCCAGAAAAAAAAAATATGCTGCATTCCAAGGTTGCCGTCACACAGAAACGCAAGTTTCTGCACGGATACAGCAGCGAGGAGGACGGAAGAAGCGCAGAGCATTGGCGAGAAGTCCAACACTGGTGGGAGATTGACGTGTTTTCCGCACGAGTGGGCCGCAAAATAATTCGCGCTACACTAGGAGACATGCGAGCTACCTAGACTCACGCACACCCTCATTTGAACGTCCCGGGGTCTGTTCATACGATTACGGATCGATTCTCTCGGCTCGTTGGGTAACCATCCACATATAACACTCCCAGCTCACCGGTTGCCCATTTGAGCTTAAACCAGCCACGGTATCCTGCGTCCCTCTACGCCGGTGCCCCTCACTCCCCGATGCTTGCTTTCCTTCTCGTTACCGTCACTGTTGGAAAGACAAGACAAAACGAACTTTGTGCACCCGACGGGCGACCATGCTTGGTTCAGGGATCGAACTCATGTACTTTGTGCGGTAGGTGCGAAATACTGACTTCACCTCGCCTCACACAACTGGCACGGCTTCATGCAGAGAAACGTCGGATGTTGATTTGATACGAGGCCATTAATGGGTGGTTCCCTGACCTCATCAGCTGCATCGATTAAGGCGTCCGTTATTGGTGGTGGCCGCGCATGCAGGGCCTGCTCGGCAGGCGCCCCTGCCATTGAAAAGGCCAAAACCGTTGACCGACATATTTTCCAAGAAGAGATGGGGAGTGTTTGCTCTCTGCCGGGACACCATTTTGCGTGATCCGCATGATGCACCTCGTCGACCGTCCAACAATTTGACAGATGCGAATTCCAGAAGAGGACAACCTTTCGTGGCCGAGAACCTAGAAACCGCAGCCTGGTACTCTTCCGGAATCGACGGGCGAGCTGCAGATAGCGCGGTCAATTGCTGGGTCGTCGCCAGCTGTGTCAAATCATCAGTCGCCTGGCGGACAGCCATCCATGGATGACGGCTAAAGCAGGGGGGCGGCGTCAAGGGCGGTCAAGGCTGTCTGGTTTGACATGGGGCTGGCGAGACGCAAAAGTGCGTATCCTGCAAGCTTCACTTTTTTTTTCGACAATCGGCAGGGCTCTTCACACAGCGTCTCGCTTGACGGCCCAGCGCGGCGGCGCGGCCTGGCCATGTGGACTTGGGCAGCGGTGGTGTTGGTGTTGGTGGCAGTGGCCTTGTTGGTAGGTGTGGTGGGTGGTGTACGCACGCCCAGTTACTGGAACAGACACGGCTACATCATCCTCTAGAGCGGAGGATGCTGATGCTCCTCAATCATATGTAAGCCACTGGCAGAGTCAACTGACAGCCTGGCCGATCGGCCAATAGACTGGGAAATCAGCCAATTGAGAGTCGGTATTCGACCAACGGAGCGCCTTCGATCCGACAAGATGGAGAAGAAGCTTCTCCCCCCAAATCCCCAAGATTCTTTGTCGACCGTTTTTCTGGGACTGATGTCGTGTCTATCTCGGCTATAGTGGAGGCGACAGGGGGGCATCATCGCATTGTGCCTCAAAGAGACATTTCCATCTACCACACCTTTGCGCCGTCTCATGGACAAGCGGTGACGGCCGCTGGGTTGCGACGGATGCACTTCCCTAAAGAAAACCAACAACGAGGCTCTTCCCAGCACCCACACATACGATATAGGTGCCAGACCGCGGACGTACACACCTCTTTGACTTAGCTCCTCCAGAGACTTACCAACCCGGTCAAAGAGGTGAACGGTGTCAGACCCTCGGGACCGTGGCGCTTTCCGATGGAACGTTGAGAAGCGTGGAGGTCAGATTGGCAAACAGATGATTAATGAGCCAAATCCGGGGGGGTTTGCGGCCGCAGGGGAATTGGTTGGCTGCCTCGGCCTGCTGGTAACATGGCACGGTACAGGGTGTTAGCCGGGCGATGAAGTATGATGACTCCTCGTCTGGTCAGATCACGTCGTCGCCCGCATGGGGTCATTAATGACAACTTCACGTAAGCACTCGCACCCGAAAGCCCACATGTTAGGCAATGCCTAGCCTTGAGCAACCACTCGTCTCCCGAAACCAACCGAGGACCCCGGAGGCCACGATGCGCTTTCTCGTTGGCGGCGTTCGCTGGGGTAAATGATCATGCGAATCAGCAGATCCCACGGCTGAGATTAGCCTCGGGGTCTTGCTGGCGCTTAGTCTTGGGCTCTCCAGCTAGGCAGACGGAGCAAACAGACAGCTGCTGGTAACACAAGAAGAGACGCAACGGAAAGGTAGAATCAGGATCAGCACTGCTCACGACATTCGGTACCATGGCGCCCTCTTCCCCACCCCTGCTGCTCTGTTCCCATCAGACGGGCAGCCTGAAATCCATCCACTCGGCAGGGGCGGGAAGATGCTCGGCTCCTCCTCTCGCGTGGCGTGGTCTCAAGAACCCCTGTCCTTTTCATGAGTACCCCTCAGACCGGTGAAATACAATTCAGCACGGGTGCAGCCCACTTCCTCAACTTCTCTCACCGAGTCTTCTCACTTCAGCCTCGACTCCTTCGACAGAGACTGACCGACCAGCACAGGCACGCCAATCGCCAGCAACAGAGTCTCTATCGGCACGCTCTCTGATCTTAGCCAGCCCGCGCGCGCAACGTTCTGCTCCACCGCAGGAGACATTGCTAAAGCGAGCATCGAGAACCCCAACGGCTCCGAAATCTGGTCGCGAGCAGGCGAGACAGCGCGAGACGCCTGGGCTCAGACCACGACCAAAAAGCACGTTGTGACGGCAGCGAAAAGCCAGCAAGAAGGAATCCGGGACGCAGAAACAGCGACAGAAGCAGACGCACCTAGACAACAGAGCGTTATACCATACCAATCGAGCACGCACGTACACTCGCAGCCAGATACCGTTGAGAGTCGGCAGCACAGCGCACACTTGCCTTGCCGCCTTTTCCTTTCGTTGTTTCCCCCCGTTTCGGCCGAGTGTCTGCTGTCAAACAGGGCCTGTCTCTCTCTGTCTGTCTCTGTTGCTCTTCACAATTGCCCGTTCTAGCCCGACTCCCTATTGTTCGCTTCCACTCCTCTTTTCTTTCCCCTACACTGACTTGTTCTTCCTCCGCCTCCTGTTTCTCGCCGAGTCATCAACCCTCCTCTCCTTTCCCCTACCTTACCCTCTTTCCAGTACTCCACTCGCGCACAAGGGGTGCCATTATGTGGCAATGGCTCTCGTGAGACCGTAGCTCCCCCACCCCCTCCCGGTGAGGCGCAATTTTCTACGCTGCCCTTGTGCTTCGCTGTGCCTGCTCACTCCTGCCTGCCTGCCTGCTGCGGCTGCTTCTGCTGCTGCTACTGTTGCTGCTGCTGCTGCTGCTGCTGCTGCTGCTTGTCTCTGCTGTATACATTATACACGCCACCGGTTGTGGTACTTCGTCTCGCTACTAGGCTCTGTCCAACACACCCTCTCTCGTCGCATCAATCATGGTAAGAGATGTCCCTGCTTCCCGGCTTGCGGCAGCGTGCATGGGATATATCACCGATCTTCCCCATTGTCCTTCCAGCCCAGCTGCCGTCTTAGCACCCGCATCATTGCACACACGCTGTCCCCTCATATCTTTTGTTAGCCCAGGCTTTTCTATCTTTGCTGGTCACGCCCCCTCCTCCGTTTGCCCTATCACCCAAATGTGCGGTGAATTGATTTCGTCTTAGAATCATCATAATCTCAAGAGGCGCCGGCCTCACGGCCTCGAGGACGAATCTCCTTTAGTGCCAGCGCAACAGAGCTCGCAGCCTCTCCTAGCTCCTCTTCCATTTGACTTCCACTGTCTACACCCAGACCTCAAACATCAGATTAATCAAATCGCATCCTTCTACAACCTCCAAGGGTACCAACTTCACCAAGCAGCCCTGGAAACTTACTTTGGCACATATTACGACCAGCCGCCCAAAAGACATAGGCCATTACCAGAGAACTCGATGTCTTCGCACATGCCCGGCGGTTCCATTGCTCAGGGCCCTTCGGAGAAGTCTCAGCAGGCCATACACTACGGTCAACATCATTTTGCTGATGGCGAACCGGGACCTTCCGCCGGTCTTCATGGTTCTGGTCTTGCAACTGGGCTAGTTGAAGGCATAGCCGGCCTTCTAGGAGGTTGTTGCCAAACGTGCTTCTCTCCTTGTACATTTACTGTTCCTGAGGGTATGTACGCATCATGTTTCCCGGTGTCCTAGTTTGGTCGTTTATTCACAGGCTATCAGGGTACCAGCTCGTCCCAGCACCAAGTGCCTTTGACTATGGAGCTACCACGGGTTATGAGGTCGAGAAACGGCCTTCAGTGAACGTCGCTCAACAGGATGTCTATGTACCGACAACCATACCGCCCAACGAGTCCACCGCATTTTCGAGCGCAGACTCTGGGCTGATGGGCACCTACGTGACGAGCTATCAGTCTGCACGAGAAAGCCCGAACCAGGCTCTGACGGCACCGCCTGCTGTATCCGACAACCTGGTATACACCGACATACCGGTGCCTACCTACTACACCAATGCTCCAAATGCCTCCGCTCCTGACGCCTCTCAAAACTCGTCGGGCATCACCAGCCATCCTGCGTCCACGAATGATTTGCTCTCAACTCCATACAATGCTGCACTCGTAGGTCCATCTCTACCTCCAACCATGCAACATCAACGGGACCTGGCCGCAGTGGCCTCGGAATATCCGTATGCCATGCCGGAAATGTGCGTCAAGGATGAGGACATCGGGCAATCGGGCTCGGCTTCTCGGCTTGATAT